TGTGACACTTCCAAGGCCCGTTGTGCTACAGCATCTGAGCCATGGGACAAATCTACCATCATGCCCAGGCGATTCATTTCAGCTACCACCTTCTGCAGGGACAGATTGGGAGGAGAGTGTCAGGGGTGTCCATGTGCCCCCTCCCATTTATCTATAGGGAAAGGTAAGGCATGGGCTGGAGTACTAAACCACAGTCCTCACCTCACCAAAGCTGGTCAGTCCACTGACATTGCTGTAGAATGGGTGGACATTCTTTGACGAGCTCTCTGCCCTGCAGAATGGCCAGAAAACAGGTCTGACTGGTGGCTATTCTTGGCCACAAGAGCCTAAAAGCCTCTACTGAAACTTCTACCCCGATTGGGCACCTGTGGCTCACATCAGGCGGCTGAGATCTAATGGTTGTGGTTTGAAGCCAGCCCAAGTAGGAAAGTCTGTTAGACTTATCTCTAGTTGAGCACAAAAAAAGGGGGGGGGGGCTGGGAAGGTGGCTCAGTGGTAGAGTGCTTGCCTTGCATGCATGAGGCCCTGGGTTCGATTCCTCAGCACCACATAAGCAAAAAAAGAAAAAAGCCGGAAGTGGTGCCCCCCAAAAAGCCGTAAGTGGAGCCATAAGTAGCTCAAGTGGTAGAACATCAGCAAAAAAGCTAAGAGCCTGGTGCCAGTGGCTCTCGCCTATAATCCTAGCTACTCAGGAGTATCTGAGATCTGAGGATCACGATTCAAAGCCAGCCTGGACAGGAAAGTCTGTGGAGACTCTTATGTCCAATAAACCACCAGAAAACCGGAAGTGGCACTGTGGCTCAAGTGGTAGAGTGCTTGCCTTGAGCTGAAGAGCTGAGTGATAGCGCCCAGGCTGAGTTCAAGCTCCACAATCGACAAAAAAAAAAAAAATAGCTAAGAGACAGTGCCTAGATCCTGAGTTCAAGTCCCAGTACCAGCAGGTGTATGTATACTCACACACATACACACATACTACCACCACCACCACAATCACCTCCGCCAACAACAAATCTTTCTATCCCTGTAATTCCCTGGAGCAAATTCAAGAAACCAGGATAGACTGTGCCAGCCAGAGAGAAGGGTTCTGAGCTGGGATCCAGTTTTTTCCTATGAACCCAGAATACCAGTTCCCCTTCCATTGCAAAAGCCAGTGCCAGTCCCTAGAGGTAAAGATTGATCTGGGCCTACACTGTGATCTTGGTCAGATTCCTGCCTCAGTGGGCCCACACCGTCTGGCCTGTACTCACCAAGGTGTGTTGCAGGTATGAGTGAGCGTCAGGTAACGTACTCCCAGCATATAGAAACTGCGTAGCACAGACAGACTACTATCAAGCGAGTGGCCACCCTCTACGCCAATGAGACAGGCCAATTTCTGGGTGCTGTTCAGAGCTGGGGGGCCAATAGGACGTGATTACTTTCAGGAGCTAGAATAGATCTGTCAAGTCCCTGATATCTAGCACCAGTTCACCCACCTTTAACTGAAGTCACAAGCTCCAGCTCAGAGTAGTTGGCACACATACGATGAATGAGATCAATCTGCTCCAGGGTGAGGCGCACAGCATCCTGGTCCTGAGTCTGGCAGGGGACGTAGGCTGACCAGAACTAGGGGGAAAAGCCAGGGGTTGACTTGGGTAGGCGCTGCTGTGGTGCTCTGCAAGCCTTCACAGCCAACAAAGTATCCAGTGGGCCCAGAGGCCACAAGGAATGCTCTCATTCTTCTGTGATGTCTTCACACTCACTGCTGCAGTCCCAGTATCCTTTCATGATACTTTTTTTTTTGGTATCAGTACTGGGGCCTAAATTCAGGACCTGGACATTGATTGTCCTTTAGCTTTTTTTTTTTTTCCTCTCAAGGCTGGTGCCTTACCACTTGAGCCACTGCTCCACTTACAGCTTTTTGGTGGTTAATTGGAGATAAGAGTCTCATTGACTTTCCTATCCTGGTTGGCTTTGAACAGGGATCCTCAAGATCTCAGCATCCTGAGTAGCTAAGATTACAGGCATGAGCCACTGCTGTCCAGTTAAGTCCCCATTTGACTAAATTACAATCCCCTCAGCCCCCTCTCTTCCTAACACCCAGCAACCATGCTGTGGCACTCTGTGGGGTTGCTGTGGTACCTGGGCACCCACAAGTCCATCTCTAAGGCGATCCAGGCTGGTCTGGCCATGGCTGAAGTTTCTCAGGTTAACATCCGGTAGACCTTTCTGGTAAAGCTGCCTCAGGACCAAGGGAAAGTCGTTGTGGCTGAAAGGAAGTTACGGAAGGGTCAGAACAGGAATAAAAGTATGAGTTCCTTAGATACCAGGCCAGGGAGGGCATATTCCAGGGGTCTCCCCCTGCACACTGTTGTCAAGATTATAATGAGATTCCTTGAAGCCTGGGGTTTCGCAGGAAGGGGAAGGGCACTGAGGGGTGGATGATGGGAGAGTGGACCATGTAGACATGGTATGGGGGGGGGGGGCTTTTTGCTGTCCCCGTAAGCTCAGAACCTTCCCCTCCTCAGGGGTGCCCTCAGAGCCCACCCACACCTACGCACCCATCCACAAGCGGGAAGTCCCTCATCAGGGCCCGAGCACGCTCTCGCAGACCCAGGCCTGACATAGTTGGGGCACTGGGGGTGCCCGTTGTGAGCAGGGTGCTGGGGGTGCTGGGCAAAGTCGGGGCGCTGGAGCTGCTGGGCGTGGTCTGGGCCGCGTTGGCTGGCTGGGCAGGCCCCAGCAAGAACACGACCGTCAGCAGGTACAGAGCGGGCAGCAGAGGCCGCCGGACCCCCGCCTGGGGACCCTCGAGGCCCTTGGGCTGCATTTTGCTCCGGGCTCTGGGACCAAGGAGGTGGCAGAGCCTGAGGAGGACAGAAGACGACGATGACGATTGGGTCTCCACCCTGGGATCCAGTCTCCAGGGGTTGAAGTCGCCCCACCCTGCGACGCCTGCCACGCGGGGTGTCGCAAACGTCGCGCAGCACTGCCGCCAGAGGGCGCCACGGCCCTCCCGTGCCCAGGATCCCAAAGGGCGCCCCCACGGGCTGGGCGGGCCGCTGCCGTGCGCACCGGGCCGGGCTCTCCTGTTTGTTCAGCATCGCCCCCGCCACTCCCTGGTGGGCCTCCAGGCTACTTCTAGGGTTTCTCCCGCGCCCAGAGAAGGGGCCTGGGGTGCTTCTCCCAGAGAGTAGTAGCCTCAGCCAGGCGGCCTCAGGTCCCCAACCTCCTGCACTTTCCAGGGCCGCAGGTGTCAGTGACCAACGGTGCTCTGGGCGTGTAGGGTGGGTGTAGGGGAGGAGATGGGCTCTGGAAATGAGTTAATCTTCTGGAGTCCATAGGTTCAGGGGCGCTCTTCACTCCTGTATCTGTCTCACCTCTCTCCCTTGGGGACTGGGGACTGTTAAGAGCACCCCCCAAACAGCCTCAGGAATTGCTCCCTCCTCGGGAGTGTGCTGTATCTGCCCTTGGAGGGTCGTTTGTCAGGAGAACCGAACCAGCATCAGGGAAGAGAGAGAGAGAGAGAGAGAGAGATTGATTGATTGATTTCCACGGTAATAGAGCCCCACACCCCAGCACCAGAGCCCCACACCCCAGCACCTTCATTCCAGGGCCGCTGGCTGTTCTGCTTGGCCAGGTTCCCTCCTACCTCAATGTGCAAGTCAAGTCAGAAATTCAGCTCCTAAAGAAAGGCCTGACAACAGGGTCCTGGGGCTACATCCAACTTCTCACGAGACTGTTGTGGTTTGAGCTCTCAGAAACCTTCAGGGCTTAACTTAGTTCCCTTCCTTGTTTGGCAGGCCCCACCCTTACCCTATTTCCTCCAGGGATCCCCCAGAACCACATGCTCACACCCACTTGGCTTATATGTCATCTCCTGGAAATGCCACCCATTGAAAGGGTTTGTGAACTGTGCTCAGACTCCATTTCCAGCTGCTGTCCTTTAGGATCTTAAATTTTTGTTTTGAACTCTAGCACTTGTTGGAGCTCCTCTAGTTTTGGAACCTTCTTTCGGTAGCAAGATTGATCAGTGCATGAGGACTTGAGATGCAAGAAGGCCTCCTAAAAAAGGAAATGAACAAGCTCTTCCAGTGTCTGGACATCCTGAGCTATCCAGGAGGAAGTTTTCTCAGCCTAGATGTGTTTTGTTTTTGCCAGTCCTGGGCCTTGAACTCAGGGCCTGGGCACTGTCCCTGGGCTACTTTTGCTTAAAGCTAGCACTATGCCACTTGAGCCACAGTGCTTCTTCCAGCTTTTTCTATTTATGTGGTACTGAGGAGTCAAACACAGGGCTTCTGCATGCTAGGCAAGCACTCTACTACTAAGCCACATTCCTAGCCCCTAGCTTTTTGCTTTATGTAGAAAGCCTTCCTCCTTGGCCAGGCTTAATGGCCTGTACAAGATAGCTTACCCTGTGAAGGCCAGCATGTGAACTCTAACTTCAAATGTGGCTGAACATCAGGCCACACCAAAGAAGCTATGTGTGTATGTGTGTGTGTGGGGGGGGGAGAGAAAGAGAGAGAGAGAGAGAGAGAGAGAGAGAGAGAGAGAGAGAGAGAGAAAGAGAGAGAGAGAAATAGAGAGTATACTGGGCTTGAACTCATTGAACTCAGGGCCTGGGCGTTACCTCTTAGCTTTTTTGCTCAAGGCTAGTGCTCTACCACTTGAGCCTCAGCTTTGCTTCTGGCTTTTTGGTAGTTAATTGGAGATAAGAATCTCAGGGACCTTCTTGCCCAGGCTGGCTTTAAACTGCAACCCTCATATCTCAACCTTCTGAATAGCTAAGATTACAGATGTGAGCCACAGGTACCAGCTCTGCTCTCCATTTTAATTTTAATTATAACAAACTGGCCTGAGTTCTGCCACAGTTCAAGGCATCACTATAGGGCTTGTGTAACTAGAAGCTGCACCCAATGAATACTTTTGAAGACAGAAGACCTTTCGTTGTGTAGAAATGTACATCAGGGTGGGAGGTGGGTATTGAAGCTTGGCCTTGGACAAGCAAAATTTCAAGTCAAACATAGAAAATCACTTTATTGAGCAATAAAGGCCATAAGGGACTGGAAAAAAAAGGAACTATGAACCAAAGGGGGTGGTAGTGGGGTCTTGATGAACTTTCTCCTGGTAGCTGGTATCTCTGGAGCTCTTTCTTCTGCTTCTTGAGGATACAGGCAAGGGGCTCCTGGGGCAACCACTTCTTGTTTCGTCCCACTTCAACCCCTTCTGGTTTGTGTTGGCGGTCACTGGCAGCGACTCAGGGGCAGGAATCCATCTGGTACACTGGGGCCCTGCTAGGCCACTCTGCACCATTTCTTGGCTCCTTCTTGGTTTGCACAGGGAAGATTATTCTTTCTTCTGCCCAAGAAAAGTCTTCGTCCAGGCCAGCTTCAGCTCTGGGAAATCAAAGCAGCCTCTTCTCTCAAACTTTCTTGCCTGTAGCCAGTTGGAATAGAAGTGGGGTTCCTGGCTGGGGAGGGCTCAGGCAGAATGGCTCAGGTTCTATCTCTAGGGGCAGGCAGTGGCAGTCACTGTTAAATGCTTGTCCTTTCAACAGACTAGCTCTTTTAGCAAGCTTCTGTGGGGTCAGCCTTCTGCCCCCATGGTTCAAAGGACGAATTTTGGGGCTAGGGCAACTTAGATCTTCATCCAACTCTGGAGCTCGATGTCTCTTGGGAGCCTGCCTGGGTACTGGCTTCTCTGTTTTGGTCTTTGCTGGGGTGGCCAGGGGAGCATCCCCATAGAGCCGGTAACCACCCACCAGGCAGTATGTCTCCCCATGCCAGCCCATCTGGGTTTCTCCGTACCCTTGGTAGAGGACATGGTAGTAAACAGGCGTAGGAGGAGGCACGGGAGGCACTGCTGGAAAGAAAACCAGAATGGATCAGTCACTTGTGCTTCTGGGACCTTCCTCTCACATCCCTTCCTGTTTCTGGCTAAAGCCCCTCTTATCTGCTTATCATCCCAACCAGTCTCGGGGTTCCCTAAAAAGGGATGCTTGCTATAAAATCACTTGGCTTGGGGCTGGGAAGGTGGCTCAGTGGTAGAGCGCTTGCCTTGCAGGCATGAGGCCCTGGGTTCGATTCCTCAGCACCACATAAGCAAAAAAGAAAAAAGCCAGAAGTGGTGCTATGGCTCAATTGGTAGAGTGCTAGCCTTGAGCTGAAGAGCTGAGGGACAGCGCCCAGGCCCAGAGTGCAGTCCCCACAACCGGACCCTCCCCCCCCCAAAAAAAAAATCACTTGGCTTCTGTGGAGCCAATGGCAACAATGGGAGACCAGGATATGTTTCCTTATTCCGAGGGACAACCATGAACCTCAAAATAATTGTAGATGGCACCCCTTAGTTTCTCTCTTACACAAATGAGAAAATTTTCTAAAGGCCTGACATTTTAGAGCTATAATAATAATGGTTTCCAAGTTTTAGAAAAATGTGATCTAGGGCTGGGAATGTAGCTTAATGATAAGACTGCTTGCTTAGCATGCATGGAGCCCTGGGTTTGATTCCTCAGTACCACATAAATAGAAAAAGTTAGAAATGGCACTGTGGCTCAAGTGGTAGAGTGCTATCCTTGAGCAAAAGAAGCTTAGGGACAGTGACCAGGCAGAAAGCAAGAAAGAAAGGAAGAAAGAAGCAAGAAAGTGACCTAATTTAAATTGTTATGAACCCTTCCCACCATGGGACCCAAAGACTACTGGTTCCTCCAATACTCAGCAGCTCAGACTGGGATGCATATGAAGGAGCTTAATCTGTATATCTTCAAGGCAATACAGTAGAGAATCACCTAGGTCTTTTTTTTTTTTTTTTTTGGGTCCGGTTGTGGGGCCGGAACTCTGGGCCTGGGCGCTGTCCCTCAGCTCTTCAGCTCAAGGCTAGCACTCTACCACTTGAGCCACAGCGCCACTTCCGGCTTTTTGCTTATATGGTGCTGAGGAATCGAACCCAGGGCCTCGAGCATGCAAGGCAAGTGCTCTACCACTGAGCCACCTTCCCAGCCCCTCACCTAGGTCTTAAGTGGAGGTTAATTAGAGGTCAACAACTCTTCCTTAAAGGATTACACTTATAGCTTGATAAGAAAAGTACAATTGGCTTTTGCTATCGACATCAGGGGTCTGGCCAGGCACTGGTAGCCCATGTCTGCAATTCTAGCTACTCAGGATGCTGAGATCTGAGGTTCATAGTTCAAAGCCAGACCAGGAAGGAAAGTCTGTGAGACTCTTATTTCCAATTAACCACCAGATAACTGGAAGTGGTGCTGTGGCTCAGTGGTAAAGTACTAGCCTTGAGCAAGAGTTCAGGTACAGCATCCAGGCCACAAGTTCAGGTCGCATGATCAACAACAACAAAAAAGGTCTGAAGGAAACATCTTGCAGCCCAGAGAGGTTAAATTGATAGAGATCAAGACTTCTCTGAACTCTTGTCCAGAGATGATGTCACTTGCTCTTAGTGAACAGGAACACTGGGTTCCTGAGTGGGGAACAGGACATTCATCATACTCATAGCTGAGGAAGTTCTTAGGTGTGGTGACCAAGCTCTGAAGGGACATATGGTAGCCCAGAAAGGTTGTATACCAAGTCTCGTACAGATGAGTGTCTTACCTGCTGCACTGCTCTCCCAGGGAACAGAAGACATGTTGGAGTGAATATAGAAGATTCGGTCAGACATTCTCTTTCATACAATTAACAAGATTATGTGTCTCGTAGAGAAAGGATAGGGAAGTTTCCTCAGGGGGGGATCACGTTTGTATAGTTCTCTTGCCATGGAAACTGAGGCCTGTGATGTCATTACTACCCAGTGAGATCACATAAGGAACTTCTGACTTGAGGTCTAACCCTCTGTGTTATGGAGAAGCAGAAGGAAAAGGTTGAGACCCCTGTCTGGGCTCTCTGGTTTGGCCTCTTCACTCATATACTACTTAAGAGCCACTCCCTGAGGAGCACATTTGTGGGTGGGCACAGTTCCAGTGAACACAGGGAGGGATGGAGAAACTGAAATTTTGTGATGAGTCAGTCAAGCCTAGCCTGAGGGCTGGGAAGGTGGCTCAGAGGTAGAGCGCTTGCCTTGCATGCATGAGGTCCTGGGTTCAATTCCTCAGCACCACATAAGAAAAAAGAAAAAAAGCTGGAAGTGGCACTGTGGCTCAAGTGGTAGAGCGCTAGGGAGCTGAAGAGCTGAGGGACAGCACCCAGGCCAAGTTCAGGCCCCACGACTGGACCCCCCCCCCAAAAAAAAAGACTAGCCTGAGACACACAAAATGCACTGTAAGCATTTGATAGTGGGAAAGGCAAAAATTCAAGTGGATTAGGGGACCAGGGAGGGCTCAAGAGTGGCCTGAAGGCAGCCGGGCGCTGGTGGCTCACGCCTATAATCCTACTCAGGAGGCTGAGATCTGAGGATCGCAGTTCAAAGCCAGCCCGGGCAGGAGAGACCGTGAGACTCCTATCTCCAATAAACCACCAGAAAACCGGAAGTGGCGCTGTAGCTCAAGTGGTAGAGTGCTTGCCTTGAGCTGAAGAGCTGAGGGACAGCGCCCAGGCCCAGAGTTCAAGCCCCACGACCAACAAAAAAAAAAAAAAGAGTGGCCTGAAGGATAAGTGAGAGCTGGACAGGTGAAAAAGGCACACATTCCAGTTGGGAAGAATCAAAGTAGAGACAGGCTCTTTTTGACTTTGTTGTGCTGAGTGTAAATTCATGGACCCCTCATCTTTATTTTTTTTTGCTGGTCGTGGGGCCTGTACTCTGGGCCTGGGCCCTGTCCCTAAGCTCTTCAGCTCAAGGCTAGCACTCTACCACTTGAGCCACAGCGCCACTTCTGCCATTTTCTACTTATGTGGTGCTGAAGAATCAAACCCAGGGCCTCATGCATGCAAGACAAGCGCTCTACAACTGAGCAACCTTCCCAGTTTCCCACCCCCATCTTTATTTAAGTGATGTTCTAAGCAGTGAAAAGGAGGTAGATGCCAGTGATTTGTGCCTGTAATCCTAGCTACTACTCAGAAGACTGAGATCTGAGGATCCCATAGTTTGAAGTCAGCCTGGACAGAAAGTTTGTGAGACAGACTATCTCCAATGGGCCACCAAAAAGCCAGAAGCTGAGGTGTAGTTCAAATAGTAGAGCACCAGTCTTGAGCAAAAAAGCTAATGGAGGGCTGGGAATGTGGCTTATGGGTAGAGTGCTTGCCTAGCATGCATGAAGCCCTGGGTTTGATTCCACAGTACCACATAAACAGAAAAAGCTGTAAGTGGCACTTGGCTCAACTGATAGAGTGTTATCCTTGAGGAAAAGAAGCTCAAGGACAGTGCCCTAGGCCTTGAGTTCAAGCCCCAGGACTGGCAAAAAGAAAAAGCTAATAGTGCTTAGGACGTGAGTTCAAGCTCCAGTACCAGTATATACACACACATACACACACACACACAGTGAATGGTTCAAGCTCCAGTACCAGCACACACACACACACACACACACACACACACACACACACACACACACACACACCACACACACACACACACACACACAGTGAATGGGGCTATCCAGGGTGACAAGTATTCTACTCAACAGTAGGGCTTCCTATTAGGGCTCTAAATTTATACATAATAGAAATGTGAGGAAAAGTTCATCACAATCCTAGGTGTTGGACATTAGGAAGATGGTGCTCCAAGGCAAAATGTGGGTCACTAATGATTTTAAAAGTGGGAATGACAATCCACACACCAGGGTTCATGCCTATAATCCTAGCTACTCAGGAGGCTGACAGCAAATGGTGGTTCAAAGACAGCTCAGGCAGAAAAGCCCAGAATGCAATGTCCCAGTCATGTCTGTTTCTAACAATTTATGCTAGACTTTTGCCATCACAAGCTGCACTAAACTCTACACAAGTTAAAAAAAAGAAAAACAAAAAATCTTTGTGTTTGTGTGTTCCAATCGTGAGGCTTGAACTCAGGGCTTGGGCACTGTCCTTGAGCTTCTTTTTTTTTTTCCTTTTCTGTCCTGTTTCCAAGCTAAGTGTATTTTTTTTTTTTTTTTTTGTCCTTGAGCTTCTTTAACTCAAGGCCAGGGCTCTGCCACTTGAGCCACAGCTCCACTTCTGGCTCTTTTGGTGTTTAATTGGAGTCTCACAGACTTGCTTGCTCGCCTGCACTGGCTTTGAACCATGATTCCCAGAGCTCAGCCTCCTGAGTAGCTAGGATATCAATATGAGCTACTGGCCCCCAACCCCAGCCCTTTTTACCTAGAACAGAGAAGGAGTGCTTCTCTTGCTGGCCCAGAGGAAAGCCTGACTGGTACAAACACCATCCTTTGATTGGTGCAATTACTTCCATCTCACTCCTTAAGCAGGCTGTTTACTAACATCTGTGCCATCCTCTGGTGTTGCAATATTATGTGCAATGAAAATCTTCTGTTGAAAAAAAATCCCATACAAACTATCATTTGTTAGAAATCATAAAGTCAAAATCCACTTTATTTTTTATGTGTCATATGAAAGACCGCACTCCAGTGCTAGCCAGCAGCACTTTCAAAGCCACAAGCAGGAAGTGGCGCTGTGGCTCAAGTGGTAGAGTGCTTTCCTTGAGCTGAAGAGCTGAGGGACAGCACCCAGACTGAGTTCAAGCCCCATGACCGACAAAAAAAGAAAGAAAAAGTCAAAGCCACAGCAGCAAAGCAGTCCTTCAGGGAGACAAGAAGGTATGCCCAATGCCTCCTTCTGACAAATGTGCTCACCCACACATTTATGTCAGCCAAAATCAGTCTTGTTGAGGCAAAGGATCTCTCACTGAGGATTCTAGTCCTGGAAGGCTTCTCCTTCGACGAGCTGCCAGTTCAATCTTCTGAACCAACCTCACATCCCAGGGATGGGTCACAAAGCTGAAAACGGTGCCTGGCACCTCGCTCCCCACTCGGCCTACCCTCCCTGCTCTGTGGATGTAATCCTGAAGGGTGAGGGGGAAATCATAATTGATGACCAGCTCCACATGGATGCTGTCCAAGCCTCGAGAAGCTATGTCTGTGCAGAGAAGTATGTTTTGAGAGCCTTTCTGAAAGCACTGGAAGATCCCTGTTCTCATTTTGGCTGGCATTTGCCCCTGCAGCCTTAGGTGTCGGATTTTGTGATCATCCAGAATATATCCCAGCCAGTTCACAGTGCTAGAGCTGTTGCAGAACACCAGAACAGTGCCTGATGGTTGAGTCTTAGCTGTTTTGTCATACTTCTTGAGGATCTGTACCAACTCTGTCACCTTCTCTGCTCCTTTCAGTTTCATAAACGTCTGCTTGACATGAGGCATGATGCAGTGAAGCTTAGCGCTGGTGATGGTGGTAAGAGAGTCTGGGTTGGCGAATTTCCTCAGTAACTGGCCTACGCCTTCAGGAAATGTGGCTCCCACCAGCACTAGCTGAGCTTTGGGATTAAAGGGGTCTTCTAAGTCAGCTGGGCTTTCTGCTACATGGCTCTTCTCCAGGATGTAGTCCACCAGTTCCAGGAAGCTTTCATCCAGCAGTGTGTCTGCCTCGTCCAACACCATGAGGGAGAGCTGTTTTAGGCTGATCAGTTGACTTTTCAAAGCCTTCCACAGAGCCCCTGGAGTGGCCACTAGCACATCTGCTGAAGGTTTTCTAGACAGCTGCAGCTTGATCCTACGCATGCCAAGACCTCCCTCTAGGTCCTGCACTTGCAGGCCCAAGTATTTGCCCAATGGCTGCGCTACCGCCTGCACTTGTTCGGCTAATTCTCGGGAAGGGACAAGGACTAGGCTGCGGGGAGTGGCGATATGGCTGGAGTCCAGGACAAGCCCCCTCATGAGCCGATGAAACAACGGCAGTAGGTAGCTGAGAGTCTTTCCACTGCCCGTTTCCGCGGCGCAAAGGACGTGGCGCCCGCGGACCAAGGGAGGGATGGTGCTTGCTTGCACGGTGGTGGGTCGAATGACTTCCGGCGCAGCCTCCCTAAGGGCACTCAGCACGCGGGGCTCCAAACCAAGCTCGGCGAAACTTCTCCCGGACGAAAGGTTGCGCAGGGCAGGCGCCTCCCGCTGCGCTCGCTCAATGGAAAAGTAGTCCCCGCGGGCCCGCCGATGCCTCCAGCCACGCGAGGCGAGCGGCGCGGACTCCCACTGGCTCAGAGTGAGGCGCGCCGGCTGGTTAAACTCGCGGCGCCGCGCCGAGACTAACAGTGGTCCAGGCCGCACTAGCACCGGCTGCGGGAGACTCCGACGCCGGCTCTGCCGCTCTTCCTGCCGCCGTTGCCAAGTTCTCGGAATGCGCACCACTGGCAAGGGCTCGTCGGTAGCATGGACCGCTAGGTCTCGTCGGGGCGCGAGAAGCAACCGAACTAGGAATGACCATAGCCGCGGCCGACGTGTGAGCGCCATCGCGCTCCAGCCCCTCGTTTTGGGAAGGGCGCGGGTCACTGACGTCACACGTGCGCCTCCGCCTCGGCTACGGTGGCTGGCGCGGTTCAGTGAGGAGTGTGGCACTGGGAACCGCGAGGCAGGAGGGGAGGACCTTAGAGTTCCGTGGCTTCGAGGTCTGTAGATCTCAACCAGGGGCGGCATTATCCAGATCCGGGCCAACTTTGGGGAAAGACGAGCGGTGGAGGCGAGGGCGGGGGCCGAAAAGTCGAAGGCGACAGCGGGGCCCTGGCCAAATGGACCAGGTGTGCGGGTGGCTCCCAGCAATTTGTCGTCCTCGCTGCTCCGATGGTTTGTTCGGCGTTGGTCCCTCCTGGTGAACTCTGGGTGCCGGATGCTGTAATGCTTCCTCACACCTGGACTCCGAACAAGCGGTGGTAATACCTGTTTTAGTGAGAGTCTGCATGAATGGTAGGTAAGCCTGGGAGCTGAGACCAGGGTCTGGGGTC